GGCAGCTTTACTTGGAACAGCTTATATCCTGTGACAATACTTTTAACACCATCAAACAACAACTTCTGCCTATCCCAGGTCCTTGGGAAGGACTCGATAGGTGGGTAGAAGTGCCAAATCCAGTCAAAACATGTGGCTGACTATGCAACCAACAATAATTTATTAAACTTGTATAATTATAGCCTTCTTAACACAAACATGAAAAGAGTCATTATACAAGGAAATGGGGAAAGCCCATTCTGACCCTACCAAAATTCAACCCCCCCCTGAAACTAGTCACTTATGTTGTTTTTTGGAATTCCTTTTACATAGATATGTTTTGGTTTGGTTTAAGATTGGGGATATTAACTATACATTTGGGACTCTAGGAATCTAGAGAATTAAGGAACCTCTCTTCAGTACTTGCTCAGAAAATATGTTCTCACAGCATGGCACTTCTTGAAAAACAATTAGTAACAATTATATGTTACCAGTTTACTTAGTAAAATATATATATGTATTATACCTAGCAAGTAATACAGACAAAAAACCCTGTTCTTTCTCTTTGTTGTTGTTGTTGCTGGATTCAATTCAGAAAGCATTAACTTTGTTATCAAGAACATTTAAAGGCTTACAGTCACCAACATTATTAAAGTCACAGATTCTGCTAAATAAGATGACAGCACTGATGGCTTTAAGCCAGTGTTTTCATTCATGATTAGATCTGTAGAAGTATAAATGGATGCAGACTGTTCTCAGAGGCTCATCAATATTTGATGATTTCATAAAAGTGATAATACTTTGAACATTAATGGCTTTTCCTATAGGAGCTGTGATTGGATATCTTACTTACCATCAAGGTGTCCTGTACAAATTAATTAAGAACACTAGTTAATCACATATTTGGTCCAATATGTTTTCTTTCCATGCTTTTCCACCTCTTTCATTTTTATTCACCAGAAAAAAAGAAGTAAGTGAACAAGGGAAGAGGTAGAATAGTCATACAATGCTTTTTGACTTATAGTGCTAATAGCTATCTATCTGGAAGCAGTCTCTCACTTTGTGATACTCATGAATGCCACCACAGTAGGACTTATGGCCATGGCACTGGGCCTGCAGGGCTTGGATTCAACACCAGATATGTTTTAAAAATCAAATGGGAGGGAGGGAAAAAACTGAGAGCACTGAGGGCACCAGAAGGGAAACTGAGGTGACAGAAACTGTTGATGGACCACTCAAGTCATCTTTCCCAGGATTCCCTAAATCCTGAGATTTAGGATGAGAGTGAGAGCTAGTTTGGTCTAGTAGTTAAGGCACCAGGGTAGAAAGCAGGAGACTGTAAGTTCTAGTCCCACATTAGGCATGAAAGCCAGCTGGGTGGCTTTGGGCCAGTCACTCTCTCTCAGCC